GAGAGGGAGAGAGAGAGAGAGAAGAGAGGAAGAGAGAGAGAGAGAGAGAGAGAGAGAGAGAAGAAAGAGAAAGAAAGGGAAGAGGAAGGGAGAAGAAGAGAAAAGACAGAGAAAACTGAAAAGGAAAATCAGAGAGGGTAAAATGAGAAAGAGGGCAATGGGTAAATCAGTGAGAGGGAGCGAGAGAGGAAATATTTACAGCTTGTGTCAAGCTGTAAATATTTGTGTATATATAAATATTTGTGTTGTGTCAGCTTGTCTCACATGTAAAATGCAAATTTGCTTTCCATCATAACAGCTTCGGATTGGAAATTAAATCTTAGCATCCTTGTGATAAACCCACGTTGACGGGATGCAGTAGCGGCGGAACACCTTCAATTAAGGGGGGGGGGCACTGCCGACTTTTGGTCCTATTATTTCCATGCAACGCTCATAGGGCTAATGTTGAAATGCCAAAATCAAAGGGGGGCACGGTGCCCGGTGCCTCCCCGTTCCGCCGCCTATGACGGGATGGGGACGCTTTTATGGTCGTCGTTGGGAGCTCGGCACTAATGGGGTCTGGGGATGATGTTGAAGGTTTCGCAAATGTTTCCTAAAAGATGCTATTTTTTGCACAACCTACATTTTTTTACGTTTGCTATGACAATGTTAGGCCCAGTTCCTTCAAGATCAGGTCCACGACTCCACAGCTTACAACAGGAGCTAGCTAACATAACAATTAACCCGCGCCGTGTTGGTGGCATGAACTTTCCATCGAGTGCTGGGGGGGGGGGGGGGGGGTTACGCCCCTTCGTCTTCCATCGAGTGCTGGGGGGGGGGCGTTTTACGCCCCTCCGTCTAACTCGGCTCCTGGGCCACGTAGCGACACGCGGTAAGCGACAATCGAAAGAGCGTCAAAAATAAGGAGGAAAACACTCGGTCATTTTAAGGTCAGGGCAAAGGTCAGGTCACCAGGGTTCATTAAAGGTCACATTTTGTTGATTTCAACGATTTCGAACACCCGACGGCTAACTCGGGAACTAATAGAGCTACAGCGCCGCGGAAAAGCGCATTCAATAGCTCTTTTAACGCTTTTTCGCCAACACGTTTTCAAATTTGACCTCAGATCAACGGTTTAGCCCCCAGAGGGCACCACTCTGATTGACCTCAAATTTGACATCAGATCAACGGTGTTGTCACCGCTCTAGCACGTCTCTGTCAAAAGTAAAAAAAAAAAACTGCTGAAGACCTCTTATGTCCTAAAATGACCTCAGGGACACACACAGGGGTCACAGGTGCAATTTTCCGATTCAGTGTGTCATGTTTACCTATGGACCGATGTTTGAGAGGGTGTAGAACGAAATTCGTCCAAAAGAGGCGCATTTCAATTTGCTCCCATTGACTTATACCTAATGGAGCAGTCGCAAAACTGACCTGACCTTAGGTCACAGACATAAAAAATCCGAGGTATACATTTTATACATACTGTTACCCTAAGCAATTACTGAAAGTTTTAAAGTGATCGCTCAGTCGGTGTAGCTACAACGAGCTTTCGACTTTTTTCTGAGGTAAGGTCACTTGACGTTACCTGGTGACCTGACCTTGAATGACGCTACGCGTCGCGTCGCCGTTTTTGAGATATTCGCGTAAAACCTGAGGGGGAAGAGCGTAAAAACGCCCCCCCCCCCACCCCACCCCACCCCAGCACGGCGCGGGTGGTCGACATAGCGACTCGGACTCAACAAATGCCTTTAACGTTTCAACGGTTGAATAAGGTGAGAGGATTGAGGTAGGCTTGTATCGGATTTTCTTCTGCTTGTCGGTAGTTTAGGTTGAAGTTAATTTCGCGAGCTGTCCATAATCATTCAAGAGGGAAAATTCAGCTGCACATCGTTCGGGTCAAAGTAATACCAAACATTCTCAAATTTTGTAGTAAAGAGCCAGTAGTCTACGAATATATTAAAAAAACAATTAGAAAAAGAATAAGCGGACCGGTTTCGTCTATCAAAGACTTCTTCAGCGCTTTTTCAAAAACGTATAAGAAGAAAACTAGCACAGTGACAATCGTTTGAAATAAAATTGGATTCAGTAAGAACTAAGAACTTCATTGTCTGAAAACAGCTGACAGTTGATAGCTCAATGACACTTAGAGCCGTGCATAAGGAGGCGTGAAAACACTCCTCATCTCGTTCTATTACGAGAGGACCATGTCATGGCGTGAGAAAGTTGTTCTCAAAATAAATGACACTGTATGAGTGAATAAATATTCCGCGCCCCCTTGGGCTATTGGCGGACCCTACCACCTGATCGGGTGGTGCAGCCGTTTCGCCCTCCACCTGAGATCTCGGAAAGTTACCGACCGATTTTAAACATTCAAAGAGCGTTCGATAGCCCCACCAGGGAACTACCTTGTTACCAGGTTTCGTTGACCTAGGTGCAACCCATGACGTCACAAGTCAGGTCAAAGGTCGCATTTTTTCACCGATTTAGTCTAAGGAATGCGTTACAGTCAGTTAACACATCAAATAAAAGGCATGTTATCGAAAAACATCGATGAAGCGTTGGTTGTCTAATACATATGTTGCCTAAAGAGGTCATTGATGCCAGGTCAGTTCACAGAGGTCAGGTCACTAAGGGTCACAATATGAACCCAACTATGCTAGGGTCGTGTGATACATGTTTTATGGCCAATTTTACATTTAAAATTCAATGGTGTGAGCTAGACAGCCATTGGGGCCAGTTTAGATTAATTCTGGCGGAGGTCAGGTCAAGGTCAGGTCAAAGAAGGTCAAATTTCAAAGTTGATATTTTACATAAAAGGGGCATCTATTCGATGCAGCTCATCACAGGAAATCTAATGGTGGCCTTTGGCTTGCTTTGTGTGTTCTGTGACGGCTAAAAATTGAATTTGAAAATTTTACGTAATAAATTTTGAGTAGTTTTTTGCCATAACTTTGCTAAAAATGGAGCTATCGAGTTTAAGTTTGACATATCTAGAGCAGATACTTCTATTACATATATTTCAGTTTTAATTTTGAAAGTTGTTGGCATTTTCGGGGTGTTATACTTCTATAGTTTTGATGGTCAAATCAATTTTTGTTTGGAAATAAGAGTTAGCAGTTTGGTAGCGCTGTTTATGTTACATCTTTTTGATCTTGAATATTTTTCGTTATCTTCAAAACTGTAAGCGTGACAGCTCTTTCCGCTAAACCTTTTATTGGGTCGAAAATGACAGAACATGGCATCACTCTGACGTCATTTGTGACTAACCTTTCATAAGAGCTCTGGAAAAATTTGGTCACAAGGTGTAAAAATGATGCCCGGCCGGAGTCTTGAAAGTTTGGTGGCGAAATTTGCTATACTTTAGGAGATATCGACTGAAAAGGAGAGAGGGGGCCGTTTCGCGCCGCCCTCCCCCTCAACGGGGCTTTCAGTTGCTGCTCTCACAGAACTCTTGGTTATATTACAACGTAGTGGAATTGCAAGTGGCAATATAAGCTTCCTGCCAGCGCCGGACCAGAGTTTAAACATGCAGGCTGAATTTTAACATTTAACTTTTGAATTTTTAAACCGTTGAGCTTTTTAGAAGTTGTATGAACTGTTCAGCTCCTTTTTTGGTCCATCACAGCGGGCTTGTATGTCATTTTGTCAACCAAAATCGAATTAACAACTTTTTATTTGGTCTGGCTACCTCGCCAACGTCTTAACTGGATCGTTTATTAGCTTTTGATTGGGATCTGCCCACGTTGTCTGTCTAGCTTTTCGTGTCATAGACACTGTCTATGACACGAGAAGAGGCTGCTGACATCGTTTGTCGCGGTTGGATAATACCAATCCACGTCCCAGTGGCTGCTCGATCGCACTTTCCCTGGCCCACCTCTCCCACCAGGCGAGACTTTGCCCGGCACAGCCGTCGCCTCAGTGCCTCGGGCGGTGACCCGTTCAAAGGGGCTCACAATTCGTATGGTGCCGTGGCTCTCAAACCAATACAGAACAGTGAAACGCAAAGGCTCACTTTCCATATAAGGCGAACGGCTGATCCTGGCGCCGGGGCTTCATTCATGCTAAGGCGCCCAATCACAGCGCCGCATTTCAGTTAGTGTCGGGCGCAAAAGCTACTATGCTCCGCCCCTCCATCACGTGACCCTGCCCTCACGTGGCCTCAGTCACGTGGTGTTTCCACTTATTGGCGCATGGCGGCGCTAGTCTCGCAGGGGCGGTGGTAGCTTGCTCCCCCGCTGTCCGGGGGTGATGGGTAGCAACTGCTGGTGACTGTACTCTTAGGGCCCTGGAGACAGGTGCAGTCCTCTCCCGAGTTGTTCGGCTGTCCGGCGGCCCAGTTGACATAGTCGAACGGAGTGCCGTCCTGCCAGGCCCAGTCGGTGCCGCCCGACTTCAGCCGCGCTCCGCCCAGCCACGCGTACGTGGCGTCACTGGAGGCCACCAGCTCCTCGACAAACTGGTGGTTGTCGTTGTGCACCGAGGCGAGCCGGGCCCGGCGGTCCATGGCCGGACACAGCGCGCTGGCACCGAACCAGGTGGCCGTCACGGCCGGCATCAGGTAGCAGCTGTGCCGGTGGCGGCTCCAGCCGGCCGGACACTGGCCGCCGCTCGACTGGGCGGCCGTCAGCTGCTGCTGCAGAGCCTCCACGGCCCGGCCGAGCTCGGCGCAGGGCACGCTGTCGGCCGGCGCGGTCAGGTTGCGGACGATGTCGCCGAGCGTCACGTCTGGACGGCCGAGTGCTGTCGGAGCGGCGGCCAGCAGCAGCAGGGCGCCGCACAGGGAGACGGCGCGCAGCGGCATGGTGGACAGGGCGCCGGCCGACCGCGGGCGCTGTGTGCTCGGGGCGGAGCGGCGCCCTTAAATACCGGCCCCGCCGCAGAGCTACTGGCACAGATAGTATAAACACTGGTCACATTCCTTGGCGGTCACATCCTATGGCGTCCATCAACTACCACTGGTGTGATATAACTTTAGCATGTGCTCGTCCATAAACTTGATGAGGTCCTATGGACTGTATTTCAATCATCGTGATTGTTAAAATGTAATATAAGTCCCATTTTATTCTCAAAATCTACTAACTTGATTTGTCAGCTTCACATTGATGTATGATAGCTTCCTTTTCTTTACTTTTTGGGGGAGGGGGAACCAATCAATGTCAGGAACTATTAAGATCTATTGCAAAGCTAAAAGCCCGTAAATTCGTTAGAAAATTTTCGCTCTTAAAGCTTTTTTAAAATCATATTTCATCCTCGATAAGTTCTCCCTCCATCGGAACTTGTCAGAAGGTCGGAGCTCAGACGCCCGAGTTGGGACGAATTATCCGCTCAAATACATACACCGCTAATGTCAACACATCTGCTGTAAAATTTCCAGGCAACGACGCCTCGTAAACGCTTCCGATTGCGCCACGTCAAAAACATTGGAAGCTGGAAAATCCAGGCTTCCGGTCAGCGTTCATATGGTCAGTCTAAATCCACGAATCTCGGGCTTCTTGTTTCGCCTGTTGTCCGAAAATGTGGCCAGCGGTGTCGTGTTTACCTTTCTCTGCCTGACACTGGACTGGCCTGGGTGGGATGTCCGCCTGTAGCTCTGCGGCCGGCCGGGTATTTAAGGGCGCCGCCCCACGCCGAGCACACAGCGCCCGCGGTCGGCCGGCGCCCCGTCCACCATGCCGCTGCGCGCCGTCTCACTGTGCGGCGCCCTGCTGCTGCTGGCCGCCGCTCCGACAGCACTCGGCCGCCCAGATGTGACGCTCGGCGACATCGTCCGCAACCTGACCGCGCCGGCCGACAGCGTGCCCTGCGCCGAGCTCGGCCGGGCCGTGGAGGCTCTGCAGCAGCAGCTGACGGCCGCCCAGTCGAGCGGCGGCCAGTGTCCGGCCGGCTGGAGCCGCCACCGGCACAGCTGCTACCTGATGCCGGCCGTGACGGCCACCTGGTTCGGCGCCAGCGCGCTGTGTCCGGCCATGGACCGCCGGGCCCGGCTCGCCTCGGTGCACAACGACAGCCACCAGTTTGTCGAGGAGCTGGTGGCCAACAGCGACGCCACGTACGTGTGGGTGGGCGGGATGAGGCTGCGGAAGGGAGGCCAGGACTGGGGCTGGCAGGATGGCACGCCGTTCGACTTCACCAACTGGGCCGCCGGACAGTCAACCGCGGGCAACGAACTGTGCCTGGAACTACAGGGCCCCCGGAGCCGCCACGACGCCAGACTGGGGCAGTGGCACGACGTCATCTGTGACGGCGGCCCGTACCATTTCCTCTGTCAGATCCCGCTACCCCCAGCCGTGCGTTAGGTCTAGTGCAAGCCACTGAGGAGTTATTTTTCAAGCGGTTGGCACTGACATGCTTATCCACCATAGCATAACTCAATCAATTTGCTATTAATCCCTGTGATAGCTTGATCGATCAATTTATCGAACTCTCGGATATACGAAACGCAAAATAATGTAAACGAAGCAACGTAGGTAAAATGAAACTAGAGTGATGTTCTCGCATTCGTTGTAAAACATACTGCACTGCATTATAACCGTTCATAACGGTTATAATTACGTAGATTGTCGATTGTCTGTAGATTGTATTGTAGATTGTAGATTGAAAATTGTTGATACGTAGATTGTGGACACATGGTCCATGGAAATGGTGAAGTGAAATATAACTATTATGTGGAAAGCAGTGTCCCGTCCGGAAATCCGTAGAGGCGTAGATATGCAAAATAGTTCCCCGTCGAAGACGACACGTCACATAGCATTCCTCAGCGATTTCAAGGCCGACGCGTCTGATCTGAGGTCCCGCCCAGACTTTGCCCGATGGACCTCATATGTTCACATTCATGTTCACATGTTATTGTTAACAAAGCTCTATACCACTGCTTTCTGTTGTTTACCATGTCTGTTGTTTGCAGTTTCTGTTGATATGGAGACTGCGGATCTTTCTCCACCAGTGAGAATATGTGACAGACTTCTGGCGCTAGTGACAGGACTCCGCACCTTCCTAGATCAGTGAGGGAGGATCTCGTCTCCTTACCCCTCTACACCATCGGTGGAGGAAAATTTTTGTTGACTAAGCATTTTGGTTTGCGTCATGGGGCAGCTACGTGCCTCCTTGGGTCAGTGAAGCACCATCTCCGCACCTGAACAGCAGCGCACCATTTCTGCACCTTTTTTGCGCCATTGAGACGCCAGCTCCGTACCTTTTGGCCCCAGCTGAGCAGTTCCGTACCTTTTTGCGCCAGCGAGAGCAGACTGCGTCCGGTCAGTGTGACGGCCGCCGTCCTGTTGTTGAGGTGGTAGTGCGGGTAGGAGATGCCGAGCCAGTCGAGCGCCGTGGGCACCAGGTCCAGCAGGGAGACGGGCGAGGCCTGGCGGCGGCCGCCCACGCCCGGCACGGACAGCAGCAGCGGCTCGGCCACGCCTGGGACAGTGCGGCAGGGCGGGGGTTAGACAGGAGCAGACCAGACCAGACCAGACCAGACTAGAGCCGGCTCACCACGCCTCGGACAGTGCGGCAGGGCGGGGGTTAGACAGGACCAGATCTGACCAGACCAGACCAGACTAGAGCCGGCTCGGCCACACCTGGGACAGTGCGGCAGGGCGGGGATTAGACAGGAGCAGATCAGACCAGACCAGATCTGCCACGACATAGCTACAGCAAGCACAGCGACAACACAGGCGCGTGTGCCGTGACTCGAGGGTGAGCCTAGAACGCAGCCACATAAAACTGATCAAGGATTGGCACACGAATCATGACACGGCACTCCGGTTACTTGGGAGCAGTGCGTGTTTCAGCAACTAAACAACACTGAACTCTTGTTGGTATATGATGGCATTTCGACAAAAAATATATATCTGACCAGCTGATCGGGGTCATGTATATTTGATGAAGCTCTCACAGCCAGTAAGTCTACTGGAGTGGTTTGCCAGAATTGGGGAGTAAGCCGTGGAAAACGTGGTGTTAGGAGTTGGCCGTATGGAGGCCGAGGGGTTAGCTACCTGGCTCGTAGAGGTTGGTACGTCCGCCGGGAAAGGGCGCTCCATTGTCGGACGTGTATACAACCAGGGTGCTGTCGGTCAGACCCAATCTCTCCAGCTCCGCCAGCACCAGCCCGACTCCTATCAACACAGAATTAGACAACGGCTTAATGTCAGACATTAATGTCAGACAGACGCCCGTCGATGCAGAGCCAACGGCTCAATGGCAGACCGACGCCCGTCGACAAAGTCACATTCAACGGCTCAATTTTGCCAGACCGACTCCTGTCAACACAGAGACAGCGCCAGGCCGACCTGGCTAGCACCAAGAACGGCTCAATCTCACTGCACTGAAGCCTGTGGACCATCGAGGCCTTCCCAGTAAGTTAAACTGTGACGGGGTGATGATCTTTGCGTGTTCTACATGTTACTGGTCCAGTCTTCTACGTCCGTGTACCAGGCGGGCTCTAAGGTACTCTTGTCAAGTCTAGCTGCTATATGCAGTCTTATTGGGCGACCTTTACAGTATCCGATAGGAAGATAGGTACAGTGTCCGTCTGACAATGGGAAGAGCGCACCGTGGCACAAGCGTGACTCATTTTTGCGATGAGCAGATTCTACGTTATCCGTTGGAGCGTACCCAGGTGCAGTCGTGACACGGCGGTGTACGTGCGGGGCGGTTCTACGGTACCGAGCAGTACGTAGTATGTACCCCTGTCCAGCCATGCTACGGTGGTACGTACCGGGCAGCAGCTCTACGGTACCGAGTAGGAAGTAGTACGTACGTACCCTGGTCCAGCCGCGACACAGTGGTGTACTGAGCGGCTATGTCAGCCCGCGCGGCCGGCGTGTCCTGGACGTTGTACGGTACCTCCACGGAGTCCGGACTGAAATCAACGCCTGTCCCAAGTCAGACAAACGACCATTCTGACTTGGCAATCGGCCTTCAGTATGCACTCAATACAGCTTGTTATTGCAAAAAAAAAACTTTTTAGCTATGTGACCAACAGAAAGTGATTCGAATAGTATTGCATGACAATGAAACGACGAAGAAAAAAAAAAACATTCAGTATCGAAACCAATAATGAACAACGATGAAAAATTCGCCCGATGTAAAATATGTCTGAAATTATGAGTAGTAGATTAATTACAGCCACGACGGTGATGTCAGGTGTGGGCAACGGTCTGAACCAGACTCGCGAGGCACAGCACACAGTGACGTGCACTAACCTGTACCAGACGGGCGTCCAGTCGGGGATGCCGCCGTCAGCGCCGAACCTCTCACAGAACTGGCCCAGCTCGGGGTGGGTGTGGCCGCACCGGTGTGGGTCGTGGAAACCGACGTACAGGAACCACGGCTGGCTGCGGGCGGGGCGACGGGTGGGTCAGCTGAGAGAGACAGGCGGGTCAGATGGGTGACCGGACGACGGGACAGGCGGGTCAGATGGGTGAGCGGGTGGCGGGACAGGCGGGTCAGATGGGTGACCGTACGGCGGAACAGGCGGGTCAGAATGGTCAGATGGGTGACCGGACGGCGGGACAGGTGGGTCAAGCGGGCGACGTGTCGGCGGGACCGCACAGCCAAATATGAGGGAGGGAGCTGGTACCGACCACATCTCAGACAGCCCGCAACACTGGTAATGGCCGTGCCTTCACACCAACAGATCGTGATCCCGACCCAGACCGTGGAGATAGGTATTCGTCAGACTCCCTGGTCGCCCGTGCCCACAGTACTGCACCCACCTGCGCGGCGTGGTGGCTAGGAACCGGCCGACCAGCTCCTTGATGTGAGTGATGTTGCGGCCGACCTGCAGGATCGAGTGGCCGTCCTCCTCCGTATAGGAGAAGTCGAATGGGTACACGCTGGACGGGCCGACGTGCTTCTTCCCGATTATACCTGTCAGTTGACACCGTCAGCCACATCTTGAATTGTTGGGAAGGATCGAACACGATATGATAATCTGTGAGGAGGGGGCTTGGGTGACCGATATTGCAGGTTACTGGAGTAATAATGGTTGACTACCTACATACACATAACACATTACACAATTTATAATTTTAGCAAGTTTTATCTTTATGACACATTCTGAAACGATGTAACACATAATGGGAGCAAAGTCAACTATACAGTTGCGCTAGCTACAGCTTTCAAATATGACTAGAGTAGTTTGACCGTGCGGCTGGTGTAGTCTGACCATTCATCTGTAGTGTTTGTCCGTCCGTGATGTTCGCCCGTCTATGGTATCGGTCTGTCCTTCCGTCTACGGTATCGGTGATCGGTCCATCCTTCAGTCTGTGGTATCGGTCAGTCTGTGGTATCGATCCGTTCGTCCGTCTATGGTATCGGTCTTTCTGTGATATCGGTATTTCCGTCCGTCTGTGGTTTCCGTACGTCCGTCTATGGAGTGTGGTATCCGTTCGCCTGCGGTATCCGTCTGTCTTATCTGTCCGTCTGTGCAGATATTCACCTGTGGTGTCCGTTTGTGACATCCGTCCGTGTTATCCACTCACCCATCCGTGGCATCCCTTCATATCAATTATATGTGGTTTCCATCTGCGATATCTGTCTGTGGTGTCCTGTGTCCATCCATATCTGCGGTCTGGCCATATCTTTCCACCTTGGCTACCCACCTGTTCGGACTCCGTGCTGCCGGACCAAGGCCGGCAAAGAGACCACACCGTCAAATGAGTTGAAGTGGTGTACTGAGTGGTGAAGGCCATACATTCCATTCTGGTGGGATGGCAGGCCAGTCAGCAGGGCTGCCCGGCTGCCAGAGCACAGAGCAGACCTCTAAGAATCTAAGAATTGCTGCACCAGATAAAGACGGTCCTCTGCTACATACAAATCTTGGCAATGCTTTGACCACCATTTAAAGTGGCAAATGTGCACACAGCAGTCAGTACAGCCTACCAAATTATCTGACATCTAAAAACAGACAGGTAGGTATGGTATACAAGCAACTATTATTCAGGACACATACATGTCTTGGCACAAGCATCTTCACGACTGGAAGAAAAAAAAAACAGCAAATTAGATGGGTACCGCAGAACTGCCCATTCTGCCAGCATGAGCATATATCAGGGTCCAAGGAAGGGGTGGTACCTTTGCAGCGGGACTCACCTTGGTGAGCAGCTGCTGACTGAAGTAAAGGCATTGTCGAAGACTACACTCTGGGCTGCCAGACGATCCAGGTTTGGTGTCTGGCACACTGTGTTGCCATACACGGGAGTCTCAAAGCCTGCATCGTCAGCTGCAATGAGATGAAATGAAAGCAATCAAAAATGGTGCAAATTGAAATGATGGTGAAATAAGATCAAGATATAAGTGATGATGATGGATGATATCCAGATGAAAGACACCTTTCAACTCACCTATGAGGAAGAGTATGTTCTTCTTAGCTTGGCCAGTAGCCATCACAGTCATTCTGATTGAAAGCAAATATAAAAATATCACAATTTTGTGCCACATCGCCATTTCATCCAGTTCAGTTCAAGTTTGAGTTTGAGTTGGCTAGATTTTGCTGTCAGACGGCCAAACGGTATGGGCAGCCAGTTCAAGTTGGCTTGAAAGGCAATTCAATAAATTCCACCTTCTAATATCATAAGTGTCGCAATTATTATGATCACAAGCCAAATGTGTAGATAAAAAATAATAAAACCCACAGGCATCATCTGCTGCCGCCCACTTTTGTTTACCTCTGCAGTATGCCGCAGCAGCGCCATTTTTGTTACAATGAAGCAGTAATCACACAACAAATACTTCAGCCCTTAGCTACCAAACCATAGTGCCAAATAACATTATTAGTCAATATTACTGGCCCCTTTTTTAAATAAATGTTATCCCAAACGACTATAGGATATATTTGAATCCTTAGTGCCTGCTGAATTGAAAGTTTGTCTCGACTTTTAAAATATTATAGGTACAGTTTGTAACGTTTGTAACGACTGTGACGTCAGTTTGAAAGAGACGTGACGTCGCATGAACCGCCCCTTATACACAGCGCGCAACTTTCAATGCGCGTACGTGACGCCAGGCCCATGTCGTCCCCTATCTCTCTGCGTGTCCACTAACACGAATGACGTCACGCATGTGGGCGGAGCTATGGGCGGAGCCTAACGCACGCGGCAGTCCAAGCCGCCATATTTGAATTTATATTTTAATAGAATCTTGCCGATATTTTGGGTGAAGTCAATTTATATGGATAGCTTGGTGACAGTTAAGCTATACGAATAATAATTTATTATGGATGTGCGTATATTCAGCTTGGAATTGCAATTAAAGTTCCGCACCGCATAGATTCGAACTCGGGACCTTTGGAATACTGCGCGGGCACGCTAACCACTACACTACCGCGACCGCGCGGCGGCCGGCGGCAGGGAGGCTGCGGAGACATGGGGGGACATTTTACGCTTTTGTGAAAAAAGCAAAAGATTTAGCGAAAAACACGTAATAGATAACTTGCAGAAAATTGTCTGCTCTTTTAGATAAGATACTTAAGTTTGATATATCTTGTGCAGACTTCATTCTACAGTGCTTCGAAAATCGCTCATTTACATGGGGATTGAACGGGGCTTCGAGACTTGACTCCAAATGACGTCATGAGCTGACGTCACGAAAAGGTAGAATCGCCGAACGACCCTACCTGGTATATAGGGCCTTGCGTGACGCACACGCAGACTTTCAACGACTTTCAGTACGTTTTTACGGGAAAATGCACAAATGCTCAGTCGTGCATATTGATTTATGTGTGGGTAATGTGCGCTTGTAGTGACAACACCGTATTGTGTTGAAATTTGTCAATTATCTATGAGGCATATGGCTTGTGAATCGTAGCTGAGCGCTCGGTCCGGGGTTGGTTCAATTGAATTTAATTTAAAAATTGGATAACCTCATACATAGTTGACGATGGTTAATATGCATATAGTCGAGGTGCTTCAGAATATAGCCTAATCAGAACCCTTCTCTTGTTTTACAGATCTACTTATAAATGGAGCGAAAAGTGAATTTGAAAGAAGTCCGAGACCAGTTCTACCATTATGCCCTCAATGAGCATGAGACGGACATCAGAGCTGCTCTGGAAGACAGGGGTGATCCAGCCCGTCATATCCCCATCTATGTCAAGTAGGAATGCACACTCTTGGCTTGAAGCAGAGCATTTACTTACGTTAATATGATGTCTTGATTCAGGTTACCTACTTGCGTGTATGTGAATACAGGAATGCATATTGTATGAAGACAGGGACAAAACTATGTAGTTAAGCTGTATAAAAACCCATCTTTCAGTCAATTAACTTTTGTTGGCTTCCATTTTATCTGTCATTCCAGTTCAACTTTCATGTTTGGGTGCCTCTTCACATTTTTTTTTGTCATTACCGCAGCTTCCTGTGCCGGCAGTTTTCTGACCCTGAGTGAGAGCTGCGCGGTGCTGACATCACTGCTGCGGACCAGCGGCAGTCAGGTGCTGCCAGCGCTCGACCTGGCGCTGACCCGCGCCGCCCGCCACTTGTACGGCCGGCTCACGGACGACGGTGTCACCGGACTCACACTCAAGACGCGGCTGCACGCGAGGCTGACCGGTGAGGCCGCCGCCGCCGTATTTTTCGTTCGGACAGCTGTTAGGTGCCGGCTAACGGCAACATAGTGTGACGGATAGACGAACTCCACGTTAGGTGATCGTCAGACAGCGTGATTTATGAGACAAAACGGTTGACGTAGCGTTTCTGTGACCTTTCACATAATCCTGATAGCTCTCAACGCTTATGAAACACCTCGATACAGTTATTATGACACCTTTATATACTAGTATGTATAGTCGGTCAAATATGTATCTTTCCCGGCCGGCCCTCCCCTCGCTGGGCAGGTCGGTAACTTGGCTGAATCCGCCGGCCGCTGCGAGTACTACGGAGGGGAGGGGACAGGTTGTGCGGTTGCCGCGTCGGCCAATGAGCGCGGACCTGGCGAGCGGGCTGGGGCCACGGCGTGTTGACCTAATATGGTCAAAGGTTCATGCCCTGCGGGTATGGTCTGCGGCCAGCTGGCCCACTGATTGAGCCACAGCACCGGGTCGCGGAAAGGTTTCGATAGGTATCTGAATTGGAGAGTGGAGACCGTTAGCTTGAACTTGAGTGTAGTCGCTCTAGGTTTGAGATGCCGGGACCAGGGACCTGCAACACCATGATCCTGAATATATTGTGTGGATCGGGTGGTATTCAGATGAAGTTGACATTTATCCCATTGACTTATAATGGGGAGGTTGTGAGATTGACCTGACCTCAGGTCATAGATAAAAAAAAATCCGAGACATACATTTTGTGGATATTGTCACCCTTACTAACTCCTGAAAGTTTCATATCGATCGGTCAACAGTTGTAGCTTTGGTGCAAGTTCAAACTTTTTGTGACGTTAGGTCACTCAAACCGACCTGTTGACCTGACCTTAAGTAAGTCATATAAGGTCAAAATTCGCTCACAGTATGCGCAATAGATGGAAAAACAGGTATGCAAAATTTGGTGGCGCTGCACGCCGCCGTTTTTCGGCTATCTGCGAAAAACCTGGGGGGGGGGGGGGCGCAAATCGCCCCCCCCGGCCCGGCGCAGGTTAAGATTTTCAGTAGATATGGCTTAAAGGAAATAGTTCACTTTTTAACATGGGTTTTGAACTGGAATAGCAGTTCCGTAGCCTGGGCTGAGACGAGCATAAATCAGGAGCTTTTACAGCCCAACGATCACCCTAGGCAAAGATATTCTATTTCTCGTCCCGAAAAAGGTGTCTTGCGTTGAGGATGTGTGCCTTGCATATATTTGCATCCAGTATGAAAAGAGCATGGGTACCGAAAATTCTTCAGAAACTAGAGAAATTATCTACGAGAACTCTAGAGAAATTCTCGTACTGATCAATAAGGACATTCAGCAGCAGCAGATCGCCCAAATGCCGGTGGCCGCGATAATTTCTCTAGTTTCTGAAAATTTTCGGAACCCATGCTCTTTTCATACTGGATCGCCTGTGCCTTACAGAAACTGAAAAGTTCTTCTTATATCAAAATATAGAAAATAATATTTTGTTATAAATAGGTTTTATTTTCTTTGCTGATCATTTTGAACATAAAAAATCATAAATCCATTGCAAAAAAAAATAATTTCGTGAAAGTGAACTATTTCCTTTAACGCTTTCCCGTTAATGCCAAAAGAAAATGAAAAAAGTTTTTGCTTTATCAAAAAATAACCGGTCATAATTCGATTTAATATTTCTCTTGCGCTAATCATCATATCACCAAGCATTCGATCGTATCAAGAGCAACCATCTTAATTTTTAGGTCAGCGACCCCTGTTGAAACACCAGATAATCCTTTGATAGCTCATAGCACTCAGTCTACAATTTACACGGCGCATGAAAGCACAGCCATCATTAGACCATCGCGCTGCCCTCACATTCGTTAGATTCCTAACGCATCCGCTTGCTCGCCTCTCCTGGCCAGACCCGCCGGAGCACCCGGCGGCGAGGCCGTCCAGTGCTGGTCTGCGGCACGGTACATAGAATACTAGGTAACACCGGTTTGTCCGCTCAACACAGGGTCAATGGTCACCACTTTCTTCAGCTGACGTCTGTGACCTTGAGCTGGCCTAGGACGATAAACAGCTGACAATTTAAGCTATTTAGAACTCACTTGACAGCTGAAGAGTGTGATTTAAATTATAAATATTTGTCAGACACTGACAAAAGATATTATTCACCAATCATTTTTTAAGCACATTCTGTCATAAATAAGCTGACTCCCTCTGGTCTTCCACACGGCAGAAAATGCAAGCGCAAATTCTGTCGTCTTGAAGTGAACCAAACGCTTATGATACACATGATCGTTTCTCTCAGAGCACAACGAAAACTGCGAGAAAACAAGAGAGAGTCGGACTCTTCAAATGGATGAATTTGGAAGAAAAATAGCTGTATTTTTTCCTGTGGAAATGGTGACTTTGAAAACATTGGCCATCAACTTAAAAATTGCCCCCAAATATGAAAATGTGTGAATTGACAAAACAGGCAATCTTGCTGTTTTTGCCCAAGTTTGTTCATGATTTAGAGAGATTCGATGCGAAAATGCTCTGATAAATACTTTTGAAAGCGAGGTCTCGATCCGTGTATTAATTTTGATTTTTAATTTAACGCTAGTCCCACTTTTTCTTCCAAGAAAATATTTTTGTCAATTTTTCACTAATTCTTTTATGCGTCACTGCTTTAAAAATAAAGAGAGTCGGACCGTAATTCTTTCAAAATGATTGATCGTGCTCAATGTCTATCGGAATATATCAACAGATCCGTCAGACTCATTGGCTAAATATGTTTAAATTGCATTTTTCTTACTTTCTGCAGATTTTGCTGCAAAATTTTACTGTAGTTTAAGCTGCGTTTCCTGCAGATTGTGTTCACAGACCAATGGGAGACAAGTATTTCTTCATCAACAGGTTTATTCGCCACCAATTGGTCTAGCGGGTGTTTTTCGTATGCGCAGCTTATGTCACAGCTGCGTAAGAACACGTTCACTATAAATCATTATGGATATTTCTTTTCAGAATATCAATTAATATCAATATCAAAGGTCAATGTGTTTCGTTAGATTTGTGGCGGCGGGATTATCGTCTTTAACTAATTACTTGATATCAGATTTTAATGGGGAGTTGTGT